GAGCGACCGAAGTCTGCGTCTAAGAGTACCGAGGCTGAATCAATAGACACCGATAACGATACACATGTGTTTACGAACTCGCCGGAACGGTGATCTCAGAAGACACGGCGGTTGAAACCAGTGGCCCCGTCAGCCAGGCGAATTTTGCACCCCCCTCGAGTGACATACGATTGTCGACTGAACACCTTCCAAGCTTGAGCGTTGAATGGAAATGGTTAGGTGCGCATGGGGTTTGAGTGTATGGAAGGAAGGTTACGAGCAGGTCTAGGACGTGTGTGACAGGAGCTGGAGAGTGACCGAGCTATCTTTTCCAATGACAATAGCTTGGCTCCCGGCTTTTTGGCACCGCGGTTACCCTTAGATACATATATTGTCGTTCGACATTTGAGCTTCTCCACATCGTACTGCCAACGAGATGAAAGGCTCCAGTACTAGACAGGATGCTTACCAGCTCGACCTGGCCTTCGAAGGTTTGCTTTCTAGGTTTGACGGTTGGGCGCTTGTGTGGTGACCCTACCAGACACAGAGTGGAATGATACCAGGACTTTGATATTCCGACGGCTCTAAACCTCCCGCGAAGACTGTTGTGAGATGATTCTTCGGAACCCGACGTTCGGCACGAGATGCGAACCGAAGTGTTACGATGCAACCCATCACCATGAGTTAGCACCAGCTATACTGCGAAATGCATGACAACCATCTAAATCGTGAGCAACAGCTCATTGCTCTTACTCAGAGGATCACAATCGTGTCCCTTAAGCGCATTCCCAGCGTCCGGGAATGTACGGCCCGAGAGGGGTTCAGAAAAGGGTCCGGGTTTGCTCGGTACGAAGTGGGGCCTTTGTGCCGGTTCCAGTTGGTGCAGTGGCAGGTTGGGTCATGGCCACAAAAGCATTTCGGCCCACGCCGCGCAAGCATTCCATTCGCGTCGTCTCATCATTTACTCTCACGATGCTCCCCCAGAGAGACAAGGTCGAGTATATCCACACCCAGGGCGACAGATGGTAATTGAGGGCTTGACAAGCATAGTCAGCCTTGCTATCGCCTTCGAAGGGAGGGCGTGGGCCTGTTCTCACCGTGGGCCGCACATCATGCAAGCACTCAAGCCAGTGAGGGCCTCCTGCGCTGATCATCGTCTGAGTGCACAGGCCAGGAGTACCTGGGCGTAAGCCAAAATCGTCTTTGCGTTCGCGTGAGACTCAGGTAGTAGATAGTAATCCGTTGGTGGTATGTCGAGTAAGATCTCGTCGAGTAAAGCATTTCGTGGAAAACTTGATGGCGCCTATTCAGAAATTGGGACTTTTGTTTCATGATTCAACAGTGACGCCTCGGAGTTCATCTATTTCTGGCATAAGCCATTTCTGGAGTAATCGATCAGGATCCCTGCCAGCGTTTCGTGTGGGCTGACAGAACCAAAACTGCCAAAAGGAGCCCGTGTGCTAAGAACCAAAAGAGTCTGATTCTACATGACAGGCAATGTTCCATGTACACGCGTCTTGTAGCGCCTACTCAAAGCTACTTACATACAGCCACTTTCCGCTGATCAAAACGAATTCTAGCAGGCACTGACGGCTGACTACGGCTCATATCTGTGCTGCGAAGTACTGTCAAAAAGCTCAAAGTACTTTCGACAAGCATCGGAATCAACTCCAAGCGCAGCAGTTACCGAAGCCAGCGCGCCAGAACGGCGTGCACGAGCGTCCTGTACCAAAATACGATGCGTAACACAATCCACCTTGGCATCCAAGTGGCTGGGCATTGGGTGTGGTCATCAGGAAACAAGCATCGTGGCCCTGTGTGGGTAGGTATCTTTGTCTCTCAGGTCACTGGAATTAGGTGACTAGGGCTGTTGGACCGCTACTGTCAGTAGTATTGACAGCACCGGCCCGTTGCACACTATGAAGAAACGGTCAGAGAAGGTACAGATGCTTCTCAACAACCGAGTATTGGTGGGCGTAATACCTTTAAATGTCCATTGAGTCAGGAAAGAAAGGGGGCGAGAAATATTTGTCGAAGCCCGTGCTGTTTGATAATTGGATGGTGTGGTTTCTAATCTTAGTCAGCCAATGATCATTCGATTATTGCGAAAGTAGTGGGAGTTATTCGGCTGCAGTCGGTATGAAGAATTGTGGGACGAGCCGATGCCAGTGCTGGATTCTCCCTCTCTGGACGTACTGTTCTCGCCGTTGTGATCGCCCTTGATGTTGGTACTACCTTTGCCGCTCAGGAGACGGGCGAAAAAGAGTGCTCTGATTCGCTGAAAAACAAGTATGCCGAGAGTCCAGCTTGGCTACATCAGTCCGCTTGATCCTTTTATCCACCCACTTTTCCATCCTCCCACTATTTCATCCTTTCGCTCTCCCTCCCATCCTCCCAACCATTTTCCATTCTCATCCTCCACCCTACTCCCGCTCTGAACATTGCCCCCCCCCCCCCCAAAATTCTACATTCTTATACTGGCTTATTATCGTCTATGCCACATGGCGAATGAACATCCCGCGACCATCAAGCCTCTCGCAACCTTCGTCCAAAACTTGAAGGACCCCGAACAGGACGTCGACCTGCTATACTGTCTCACGGGCATGGCTCCTTTACTCAAAATTCCACTTGTGACAACGGCCATGTCAAACTCCACTCGAAGTCGACATAAGCAAGCTTACCGGCATTTGAACAAGATCCGCGAGAGCTTTGGGGAGATTGCCTACTACATATGTCTGTTCGCCTCTTCAATTACCGCACTCGGTGTTAAGACAGAGACAAGTGGATTTGATGCCTCCTTCCGTGAATGGTTCGACCAAGTTCAGCATGAGATACCAGATGATTTTGAAATCCAAGCGGGCAAAGCAGTTGAAGACCATCTCGCAGGCATATCATCCATTCACAAACGACAACGTGCCTCAACAGAGTCGAGCAAACTTGAGAGTCCGCTCAAGAAACTTAGGCACAGTGGAGTTGCCGATGCGATGTCGATTGGAAGGGTGAATCAAGGCTCAAGGAAAGGCGATGCCCGTGGTTTTGGTGCCATCAAACCCGCTTCACTTGCATCTCGAGGCACCACAACACCGACACCTGTGCATCGGGAGGAGCTTCTCATCGGCCAAGATATGATGACTGGCGAAGTTGATGATTTCCAGTTCCATGCCTCTTCACCGAGGGATGGAGCCAGCTCGAGCCTTCGACGTCGCGACAGCATAGACGTCAGACACCATGCCCGCTCTAGTTGCGAGGTAGCGGATAATGATGTGGATGATGGGAGCGGCGATGACGGTGATGACCACAGCGATGGTAATGTTGATGGTGACGACGGCAATAGCGACAGCGAGGACGAAGTTGATGACGTGGACGAGGACAACTCTGAAGACAGTAGCCCTTTGGTGCTTCAAGATGGTGTGCAAACTTCTGTGCGAAATATAAAAGCGAAAATAATTGACAATTCTCAGTTCCACTCAACGGCAAGGTGTATGAGTTGACCGCCATCGATGCTATCCAAGTGCTCTCTCACTTTCAGTTCAACGGAACAATTCGACTCACTGTGCCTCTGCACAAGGCAGCATCTCCATTCATCTCCTTCTCGTGTTCAGGAAAAACAGCTTTGCGCTTGACGACTTACAGGAAGCAGGTTATGTAGAACTGCCCTCAGGAAGCTTAGCCTTTACCATAGCAACTCTCATTGCACCGTAGCACTTCAAAAAATGTTCAGCCTCCCATTTTATTATGACCATGTGACCTCCGAAGTCATCGCTGCCAACAATATCCACCGTCTCGGAGGTGGCGCTGTTATGGATGTAAACAACGGCATCTTCGGAGTTCCGCATGTCTACCAGCAGAAACACAACGTCTGCGTTCGGTTCATATGTGTCCAGATCACCTAAATCGAGCCAAACAGGCCCAACACAGAGCTTTCCGATCTACGATGTAATCAGCAGTTGTGGTTTGTATTGCTCGGGAATTGCCTACTTGTCCCTCGCATCTCTGACGGAGCTTCGTGTCCGTCGAAGCCTTCGTCCGAATCTTTTTCATTCCATCTAATGTTCTCGAGATACAGTAGTTTGGTGTTCGCAAAGGATATTGCGCGAGTTCGTTTGCAAGGTTGGCGATTTTGCGGTCGGGAAGTGGTATTGCAGGTCCTAAAGCAAAAGCAGAAGTTAGACGATGCGCTTTTGGTAGGCGCGTGTGCCAGCATACTAACCTTTAGAATGGTCACGGCAGTGGTTGCGTTGTGGGAGAATATGCCTACATCCACCTGGGACTTCTGTCCGAGCTTTTGAGTGCAGTTTCGGCCGGGTTCTTTGTCATTCCATCTAGCCTTTTGGTCTGGCTTCAGAAGTCGAAGCGCCTGACAGCAGCGGGCTCATCAACAGCATCTATTGGACCTGATGGGACTTATCTGAAGAGATCACAGGATGCGACTACACGTCTTTGTACGGTAAAAGCCGCACAACCAAAGCCTCTCATCACCCCTCACTTGACGCCTGATCAGCCCAAAGCGGGCGGACATATGTCGGCCCGAGGACGAAAAACAAAAAAGCAATCACCCGACCTGATGCACCCTTCCTCCCGTGCATCCTTCCTTCCGTGCACCCTTCCTTCCGTGCATCCTTCCTCCCGTGCATCCTCACTGTCCAGGTTTGGGTCCCCAAGCATGAAGAGAACCTCCTGCTTCTGGCGTTCTGGGGTTTGTGAGCGCCCTTGTTGAGGCTCCTGCGCCTCTCCGACAATGTGGCTTCAATGCGGCTTGCTCCTCTGGCTCATGTTCCAAGTTATTGCGATATTTCAGACTGGGACTTGTCGATCAGTTTAGACACCTTGGTTAGATTCGTGTGGTTGATTTGCTGCACATGAGAAAGGTCAGAGTCTCATGGTGATACATGACCTTTTCAACAACGCTGGGCAAGGCTTGAGACAAAATATGCCCATCTTGACCCGGGAGGAAAAGTTAGGCGCCCTCGCTCATCGGCACTTAGACTTAGCCAACGTTCTGGTTCTGGTGTTGTCTCGCAACCCAATCCTTGTCAAACTTGGCGATTTCCAGTGCCTCAGCAGCACCGACCTTCCTCCGAGCAAGCCTTCTCACACCGAAGGATGCTGCGCCTGTAGTCTTAGTTCACAACGCCGGTGCTGCTATTGCCGGGAAAGAAGATACCTGGTCGCTCGGTGTCATGGCTCTATAACTCTCCAGAGGGCGATAAGCAGTGGGAGTTTGGCCAGGGAAGCGATGGGTTGAGGATGAGTGTGAGAAAGGTCATAATTCAGCGCCACACATTGAGAGCTATGGTCTTTGACGTGGATGTCATGCCCAATTATTCAAGAATAGACTGACAGCTAACTCTTAGAGTCATTGTCCCACTTTAACATCCGAGGACACCTTCGGAAATCACAACTTTGATCGTCGCCCCGCCCCCCCCCCCCCTTCGCCCCTCAAACCCCCCAAAAAGGGTGAGAATAAGAAACGGAACAAAACAGAAAATCACCTAAACCATGTGTAGCCGACATTTGCAAGCTATTGGTCCCACGTTCCTATCAAGACCTCATCTTTTTCCAAGCTCCCCAGTAGCCCAGTTAATTTCAACACTACAGGCTCTTCAGCCTAGCTCATCGGTCACGGCAGAGGTATGACGACAATACATCGATCATTGATAGTATCCTCTGGGAATTTGCTCTCAGTCTTGGTGGCAGATTGCGCATTTTGGGGATCTGAGCGTAAGTCGAGTGTTGAGTCCGAAGCTGGACTGGAATTGTCTGTGCATAAAGACCACGACTGAGGTGAAACGTAGTCTGGTCGGCCGCCCTGTGGGTTAGTAGGGGCTGTATTGCTACCGCAGAGTGGTACAGAGACATTCATGTTATTTCCCGATTGGACTGCATCGGCAGTATGAGTTCTGTCCTCAACTGACACAGCCATATCTAGGGTACTGGACGGGTTCAACCCTGTCGTCGTGATGCCTTCAAAGTAGTGCGGACTCGGCTCTATATCCCATTCGGTGGCTGAATTTGAGAATGCCTGGGAAAGAACAGGAGCCAAGGTCGGATTTTCTGGCTGGAAAATGACAATCCGGTCATGTTCAGTGATATGCAGGATATCGATTGAACAAGCGATGGGCGAGCCGTGGCCACCAGTGAGGGTTTGACTGGCGTATCCTACTACCAGACCTGATGGGCCCATTCGCACGGCTACGTCGCCAGGTGCCCAAGCAAAGTAGGTCCATGCGGTACAGCAATATCCTTCCGGGGATGGACTCCAAGCTAGTTGCGCAAAGGGCTGCCATGGAGACGTAAACTTCACTTGCCTATGTGTTATTAGGTCTATGCTCAGAGTCAGAAAGGCGTCCTTACAATTTCCAGTCATCAGTTTTGAACTTCCAAACGTAGTTACAGACGGGATAGATGGAGAAGCGGATGATCTCTGTTCGAATGCTCATCATATCATATTGCATCAGATGGAATGCGACTTGACCCGTTCCACCGATGATACCGTCCTGCTGGATGTATAAGACTTGTTGTTCTTCGCCTTCCGTCGTCACAAGGGATCCATCGGGTCGTCGTACTGCCACTCGAACAGTCCTGTAAAGAAGAATAGGAGGCAGGTTCATGTTGTAATACAATGGAGATAAGGATGCCAGTGCTTGTTGGGCCAATGTTTATGTGTTCCAGTGTGACGTTCTTTGCGATGAGAGAGAACGAAAATCCAAGGCTTATGTAGATGTTTGAGAAGGTCCGGTTGATAAAAGTGCGGTCTAGTAGATTCGAATTCTCACGCGAGCTCGGTTAACTCATTGGACGGTTGGTGGGCAAATGTTCAACGTCGTAGTCTGTGAAGCTGGATTGAGGCCGCGTATAGGAAGCCAATTCTCTTACCTACATCCTCCCATCCTCCCATCCCCCCATCCCCCCATCCCCCCATCCCCCCATCCCCCCATCCCCCCATCCTCCCATCCCACCTCGTCCTCCCATCCTCCCATCCTCTCATCCTCTCGTTCTCTCGTGCTCTCATCCCCCCATCTTCACATACTTACCTAGCATGCCCACGCTGCGCGCGATTCTATGTATAAAACTCAGTCCGCTCCTTCTCCTTCTCTTCTCGTTATTACTCTCAATTGGTATCTTCCCAAATCTTTCAACATTCTGACACTCATACCTGACAGACATAGCCTACAGCAGTCTCCCTTTATCTGCATCATGCAACATTCCAGTCCCCCGACTTCTCCCCATATCTCCATTGTGGACATTTTCTTTCCCGGCCTCACTGGCGCCAATGCAGCGCTACATCAGCTCCTCGACGGGAAACTTGACAGCTATGCCGGCTTGTTATGCATCTTCGGGCTACTGGTGTTTTGTGGCAAGCTTCTGTTTGAGACAGCGGGAGGGTTGATGGCTACCTACTTGAGTGGGCGATACTCTTCCTCCATGAATACGTCCCATTCTAATTTTTCGCAGCTTCGAAGACTGCTATCCACGATCCTGATGAGGCATATGAAATGCTAGAATCATGGGTTTCTGCTCAAGACTTCTCCAAAAGCGCCATCTCCTCGCTTGCTCGTGTTGACAATAGGCAAGAGAAAGCCTTAAGTTATGGCGACTCCAACACAATGGATCAAAAGCTTCTTCGATTTACGCCTTGGGGAGAGCGACTGTCTTTCTGGTATAAGGGTCACCGTCTCACTTTACAATGCACGCAAAACGAATTGGCTCTATTTCCACGCAAATCGATGACGATTTCCTGCATTGGACGTTCTTCAGAAGTCCTCCGGGGTCTGATGGATGAATGTCGTCTGGAGTACCTAAGGCGATCTGAAGGTAAAACTTCAATTTTCGAGCACCACAACAACGGCTGGAAGAAAACTATTACTCGGGACGTCAGACCTATTGAAACCGTCATCATGAACGAAGAGCTGAAGCAGTTGCTTCTTGAAGATGTCCGATCGTTCATCGACCCAAAAGCTCGTTCATGGTATGCAAATCGCGGGCTACCATATAGAAGGGGCTACTTGATGTACGGACGCCCGGGGACCGGAAAATCCAGCCTCAGCATGTCCGTTGCGGGTTGTTTCGGACTGGACATCTACGTTGTCAGTCTTGCCGCAATCAACGATGGGCACCTCAATACCCTGTTCCGGGAGCTTCCTCAACACTGTGTCGTTCTCCTGGAGGACGTTGACGCAGTCGGCACCTCACTATCTCGAGACTCATATGTGGATGATTTCGAATCAGGATCAGAGGTGTCACGGCGATCACGGAAACCACACGGAACTGTTTCGCTCTCTGGGCTTCTGAACGTCCTCGACGGCGTGGCTTCGCAGAATGGACGTGTTCTTATCATGACTACAAATCACGTAGAGCATCTCGATCACGCTCTCATACGATCAGGTCGCGTTGATAAGAAAATCGAACTTCAGCTTGCTGACGCTGATGTGGCCCGCAAGCTCTTCTGTCATGTTTTCGAACAGTCGGGAGAAGAGCTTCCTAGTTCAGAAAAGCGAGTCAGCAACAACCAGGAAGTCCGGCAATTAGCTGTGCAATTTGCGGGTTTGATACCTGAGCTTGAGTTCAGCCCTGCTGACATTCTGTCCTTCCTTCTAGCCAACAGAAACTCACCTTCAGGGGTCTTGAACGAAGTGGAGAGATGGGTGTCCCGTACTAGAGGGGAGAAAGCGCTGACAAGAGGTGGTTCTTGGGTTCAGAGCGATTGAGTTGGGGCAACGTGTGTATTGCACATACATTTCGTAGTTTTGACCCTTGCCTAAGACATTGGTTTTTCAGATGAGCCACCATGCCGTACAGGATGGGGACATACAGTACACGAATGAAAGGCGTTTCACGAATGGTTCCATATCAGCACATTTTCCAGTCGCTCATCAGTTCAGGAGCAGAGCGTCAGCAGGAAACATTACAGATTTTGCGTGAGGAGACGATGCTGCACCCGACAGACAACCGCTCTGTGTGTGGCCAGATGGACCCATCCTGGCGTCGACCCTGCCGGGAGGGCTAGCAAAGCTGGCCGTTGCTGTACATCGAGGCAAATACATTACTGGATGCAGACAAGAGCAGCTGAGCGAACGGCTGCCGTGGCCATGAGGTGTCGACAATTTCCGTGCGTAGGTGCCGTAATGGCTGTCAGGCTACGGCTTGGTCATCTTCCCTGTCCCTAACCTAGTTGGTTAGTTACATTGGAAGTCTGGTGGTACGTAGTGACTACTCACGCGGGGTTGTACGGCTACCGTGCCCCACACAGCCCAGGAAGTGGGCGATACTTGATCATTATCTTCACAAAGCTACAGTGATGCCATCACGCACGCCTACCTGTCTTCATACCTCCACTTGCCAGTCCTTACATCCGTCCCGGCCGGAAAGACAGGGCGCGATGATCTAACAGGAGAGTCCCCGGTTGTAACTCTTCGCTTCCGGCGATGATATTCCTCGTCCACAGTCTCCTCGTCACTCCCGTGAGCATATGATCGCTTCCTGGTTAAGCAACGCGCTATAGCCCCGCTTCCGCCTCGCGCATATCGACCCGCCTGCTTTTTATCTCCTGATTCAGTAGGCATGCTTGCCCTTGTCGGACGGTTGGATTTGTCCACTGCTTGGGCATGAGAGAGCTCTGGTGAGGAACGTGACGTGCAAGGCGACGTGGTCTGTACCGGACAGGGGCTTGTGCTTGACCGAGAGTCTTTCGAGAATGGTGTCGCGGCAACGGTGGAGAAACCGTCGGTCGGTCGCGGCGACGTGGGGCGTAGTCCGAATGACAATCTTGGGGTTATTGGCGATTTTGGTGATGTGTTTGTCGATTCGGGCGACCGTTCGACGGAGTCCCCTTCTTTTTCTTCTATTGCTTCCGCTGACAAGACTGATTTGCATCGTACGCACCCAAGGATGGTAATGACTGAGATTGGTGCTCCGAAATTGTCTCGTCCGTATCGTGATACATTGTTCCTCTCTGCAAAGTATGGCTCCACGGGTCGTCCACTTGTTCGTCCGAGCCAGGTGAGGAGCATAACTCGGGGGGGAATGTGTTCTCGTATTCCCATGGATCACCTCCATCTTCGGAAACATCATCTCGCGCATCGCCATCGCATCGGGCATCGGGTCCGTTTCCAACCGTGCTAGTATCACCGGCGGTGGTGAGGCGCATCAGCTGCTTATCCTCGGCCCTACTCCAACCGAAGATAACACCATACACAAACTGTATGAAGCTATCCATACTGCCAGTTTGGCCAATTTTGAGTGCCGCATCGCGGGTACTTGTAGACGAGAAGTGCTGTCGGAAATTGATGGATGAAAGGGCGATGTCGCGTACGAAACTGTCGAGATCTCGGCGGCGCTCTTCGTGCTTCGCAGCGAGAAGTTCCTCGAGGTGTCCACGATTCTCGGCGTGTTTTGCAGCAGCCATAACGTCGGCGAAATAGGCGTCCTCATCGAGGAGCGGGACTGCGATAGTATTGAACCGCCGCCAGTAGTCACCCCATATCATTTTTGGATTGTGAAAGTCCGGCTTAGCTATTCGTCTCCAGGCCTTGTTCTTCTCGTATGTCATTTTCGGCGGCTGGAAAGCGGGCATTGCGTGATTCTGTCTTGGGTGTTGACCGCGGTCGAATTGCCGGTCGGGCGGTCGTGTTCGTCAAATGTACGGGCGGGTGGATGAAGTAGCTGGTAATGTGCAAAGTTCGATGCGTGTATTGACGTGGAAAGTGAATGTGTGGCGAGAAAGGACTCTGCGACAAGATGGATGGCCAGCTTGGAGGTTGGGCGGTGGAGAAGGTGTTATTGTTAAGATTGGGGATTTCTTGTACACGAGGGATGACATGATCCAGTCATCAGCCAGCCTTGGCAGTAATTGCGACCCGTCCGATAAGCGAGCGCGCGCTCTTCTTGGGCGCAGGCGCTAAACTGTCGCTCCCTGTCTCTGGTCCAATGCAGGTGCGCAGGTACCTTGCCGGGCATTTCCCTCACAAGGCCTCGAGGACTACTTATAACACCCTACCTTGGCCTGTACTAGAGTTTTAAAGGACTCCCCAAAGCTAAACTGCCTCACCTGCTCGCCTTCATTATCAGGATGAGTTCTCTCAATAGCGTATCAACTCAGGCTTTTAGCGACTCTGCTGATCTGCAGCGGCGCATAGACCAGATCAAGGCAGAATACCGAGAGAACAGCCAATTGGCTGAGCAGAGTGAGACCTGCACGGCAACGAGTGCAACAACATTACCAACTCCTGGCAGTCTTGAGCTCACCGAAATCATTGAGGCCTTTTCCAACGCATCCCTCGCCTCGTTGCCTGATGCTCGTATTATTTTTGCCTGCCGCCGCCAACCGCGCAACACTGACTCTGCTATGATTCCTTTGCCGCACAAAGTTGGCGGGTGGAACATGGTCGGTGTGATACAGCGCACGCACGACGTGAATTTCACTCTGTGTGTTCCTCTCAACGACCCTCCCTGCGACCCGAGACCTACGCGGTTCGTACCTTTACAAGTTCGATGCAGTGTTTACTACGATCCTGCCGACGACAGCTGCGTTCTGGTCAACAAATCGTGTGTAGATTTCTATCTCACCAGCTTATGCTCTCCAACGAGCCGCCGGCGCCTATCGTATGACCAGACCGAGGTGATCAAGCCCGGTAGGTGGAGAATTTCGGCGGAGGTCAAAAACCTCACGACTGAGCAACATCTCGTCGACTTCTTGATGCAGCGGAGGCAATTCACCATCACTTTACTTGAAGGCCTGCCTAGCTATTCAGTTACCGCCAAGCGCCTTGCCTCCGGCGAGGAGCAACATGGTGCAAAGCGACGAAGACGGGAGAAGGCCGTGGCAGAAGTTGTTCTTGCCACTTCCACGGACTTACCACACAAATCAACTGACGCCGCCGTTACCGAAGTTGCTAAAGGCCTCGGTCCCGCCATTCCAACCTCGCGGAAGATTGCTCGAGCGGGCGGTACACCACTTCTAGACCTCTCGGATGGAGGAGTTGCCGTCGTCCGTTCTAAGCAGGTCAAGGACGACGAGGTCAGTTATCTGCCCCTGGACAGAGAGGCCGGCGGGATTTCTCGGTGCGGCAATCAGACCACCTACAGATTTCATCGGCTTGAGCGAATCGCTGATACGCTGTCTGCCAGTCTCTTCACTGGCCGCCACTCGGCATTATCGGAAAAGGTTATGGCGAAGGTGATCAGGTACAAAGGCAAGACGGCCGAAGACCTGATAAAATGCGCATCGATCTGGAAACGAGAAAAGTCGTTCCTGGAAAAGCTACATCACGTATGTTTTTGCGCCCCGAAAACGTTCGGTATGTTCGACCTCTGCTAACGGCCATTAGCCAAACATAATCTCCCTGAAGGCCTTCGACGGCCGCGTCTTTGCCATGCTTGTCGAGCAGCTTCCCCCGTCCCTCCACCGCGGGTTTAGTTCGCCTTTCAAGACAAGCGACGCTCAAAGAATACTCCAGGGCACGTCATCCGCCCTCGCCTATCTTGCGGACCAACGGGTCATCCACAATGACATCAAACCAGCTAATATCGCCTATTCGCCTGAGCGCGGCGCTGTTCTTCTCGATTTCGGACTAGCTACGACGATCGATGAGAAGGAGCTGCCCGGTGGTACCCCTTGGTATGTCCCGCCTGATCTTATTATGCAACGGACACGAGGGGCCCCAGGCGACGTGTGGGCCTTGGGTGTCACAATGCTCTATGTGCTGGGAAGTATTACTCTTCCGGAGAAGACAACAAGAGGTTGGCTCATCCGTAACGTGACAAATCGACATGGGGAAGCTCGTGAGCGCTTGCTAGGCTGGCTCGATAATGTCGCTCGCGCTAGGGCCAAATTAGATC